TAGCTAACTTTCACGTTCTTATGAAAAGCTTAGCTCCAAGTCCAAAACAAATCTTGGCCATGCCTAGAACAGGAAAATTGGAGTTTAATAAAGCGTCAGTGTTACTCTCTTGACCTGAGGAAAGTACTGCTTACAGGGTATGGGAATAAAATTGGAAACAACAGTAAATGCTTTGGTGTTGCAGTACTGACAGTAACTAAAAGGCCTCAGGATGGTGCTGATACAACACAGACAGTTACGAGTTTCCATTCAGCACAGCCACCAGAGCAGGAATTTCCGAACTGTTCTAGCCAAAGGCAGACCAAAAAATTAGCAGGCTGGAATGGCCGTCTGTAACTGATAGACATTTTGGTTCCCTGAAGTAGCAGCGCAAACTCCAAGGAAAATGGGGCAGCAAGAGACTGACGCTTTGAGAACAGCATACACACCTGAAGAATGATACGGGGTCTAGAGACCGCCATGTCTAGGGGTGCAGCCCTACTCACTCAACTCCAGCAAAGCTCTACTGAATTACACTGCCTCAACTTTAGAGTCCACTTCCACGCCTGCAAGACAGCCCTCCAGGAGCTGAGAGCTTTAGAAAACCTTCCAGTCAAGGACTCCTGTGCCGAGAAACTGCTGCTTCATGCAGGTAGCTTGAGATACCTGACAGCCACCCGTTCTTTGCCTGTATCTGACCGGTGAAGGCGGACGCTGGTTCACCTTAGAAACACTATGTTTGCCAGCGATCATCTCCACCGTCCCAACATTCTAAACCTTTAAAAAGTTTAGGAAGCTGGCTTCCCAACTTCTTTCCACTTGTATTTTATCACTCCCAACTCAAGTCTCACCAGATAACCTCATCTCCAGCTTCAAGAGAACGTGTAGGAAGTCCTCCAGCTACCTGCTTCCTCTCCCCATCACAAGCTGGTCTGCACAAGCGCCTGTCCTTATCTCCTCCCTTCAGATGCTGGCAGGGACGGCCCCCCTCCAGTCTAAAATATACCATGGTCCAGCCTTCAACGGGCCATCACTTATTTACCTACCGAATTATTCATTGAGTGTTTATTAAGTCTCTATTCTGGAACAGATAATATACCAGGAGTTAGGTGGCTACATGGTTTGGGACGTAAAAAGCCAGCCCTGTACATTACAAGCTCCCTGAGGTCTGGGGTTTCGGTTTGTCTTGTTCCCGCCACATCCCTGGGGCGAGAACCGTGCCTAGGTGCTGATGCTCCACAAATCCGTGTGGACTTAGTGAATGAACTGAGCCACACCTGGCACCGGCCGTCTTCCCCGCTCACCTGGCTCTTTCACTTCAGCAGGAAAATATGCTTAGGCCCGGGGCTCCCGCTCTAAAATCCAAATCACAGAAACCTTCCTTTGGTCCTGCCCGCCTCCATCTGTTCTGCTTCCCTTTAGACAGGAATCCCGGAAGAGCAGTAGGCCACCACCGGCTCCTCCGCTTCATGATCCCAGGTCTGCTACTTAATCCCCAGCTTCTGAGCCCACCACGCCACTCAGGTCCCCAAGACAATTTTCAGCCCTTGATTTATGTAGCTTCCCCAGGCATCTGATACTGGCCACTCCCTCCTTGAAACTCTCCCGCCTTGAAACTCTCCCACCTTGGCCTCCTGGGTCCTGGCTTTCCTTCCAGCCCCTCTGGCTGCTTTGCTCCTCAGTTTCTTCCCCTTCCCATCTTTTAAGGCAGTGATGTCCAAACTTTTTAAGATTTCAACCTTTCAGTACAAAATTTGAAAGTATTCCCAATATACATATTTACTTAAAAGTTTACATTTGTAGTAAAATAAGACTGTATATTCATAGTATATTGCAACACACACAAAAAAGAAAAAAATTTAAAGGATAAGGTACCTTAGTGTTCTTCCCAATAATGAGAAAATATCAGACAAGCCCAAATAGAGGGACATTCTACAAAAATACCTGACCATTACTATACCAAAAGAAAGAGAGAGAGGAAACAATACCATTTACCATCTCACCAAAAAGAATAAAATATCTAGGAATAAACCTACCCAAGGAGGCAAAAGACCTGTACTCCAAAAACTGTAAGACACTAATGAAAGAAACTGAAGACAACATAAACAAATGGAAAGATATACTGTGTTCTTGGATTGGAAGAATCAATATTGTTAAAATGGCCATACTGCCCAAGGCAATATACAGATACACTGCAATCCCTATCAAATTATCGACATTTTTCACAGAGCTGGAACAAAAAATGTTCAAATTTGTATGGAAACACAAACGACCCCGAATAGCCAAAACAGTCTTGAAAAAGAAGAACGGAGCTGGGGGAATCACACTCCCTGACTTCAGACTATGCTACAAAGCTACAGTAATCAAAACAATATGGTACTGGCACAGAAACAGACACAAAGATCACAAAAAGAACAGGATAGAAATTCCAGAAATAAACCTATGCACTTATGTTCAATTAATCTATGACAAAAGAGGCAAAAATATACAATGGAGAAAAGACAGTCTCTTCAGTAAGTGGTGCTGGGAAAACTGGACAGCTGCCTGTAAAAGACTGAAATTAGGACATTCTCTAACACCATATACAAAAATAAACTCAAAATCGATTAAAGACTTAAATGTAAGACCAGATACTCTAAAACTCCTAGAGGAAACCATAGGCAGAACACTCTTGGACATAAATCAAAGCAATATATTTTTTGAACCAGCTCCTGGAGTAATGGAAATAAAAGCAAAAACAAATGGGATCTAATTAGCCTTAAAAGCTTTTGCACAGCTAAGGATACCATCAACAAAATGAAAAGACAACCTACAGACTAGGAGAAAATATCTGCAAATGATGCGACTGACAAGGGACTAGTTTCCAAAACATACAAACAGTTCATACACCTTAGTATCAAAAAACAAGCAACCCAATCAAACAATGGGCAGATGACCTAAATATATATCTCTCCGAAGACATACAGATGGCCAACAGGCACATGTAAAGATGCTGAACATCACTAATTGTTAGAGAAATGCAAATCAAAACTACAATGAGGTATCACCTCACACCAGCCAGAAGCCATCATTAAAAAGTCTACAAATGATAAATGCTGGAGAGGGTGTGGAGAAAAAGGAACCCTCCTACGCTGTTGGTGGGAATGTAAATTGGTGTAGCCAGTATGGAGGTTCCTTAAAAAACTAAAAATAGACTTAGCATATGATCCAGCAATCCCACTCCTGGGCATATACCCGTAGAAAAATATAATTCAAAAAGACACATGCACCTCAGTGTTAATAGCAGCACTATTTACAATAGCCAAGACAAGGAAACAACTCAAATGTCCATCAACAGATGACTGGATAAAGAAGATGTGGTGTATATGTACATATATATGCACACACACACAATGGGACACTATTCAGCCATAAAAAATAAAATAAATAATGCCATTTGCAGCAACATAGATGGAGCTGGAGATTGTCATTCTAAGTGAAGTAAGCCAGAGAAAGAAAAATGCCATTATGATATCAAAAGGACACAAATGAACTACTTATTATTTATAACTTAAGACGATTGATTTCTTGAACACGTATAAGCACATCTGACTGTCCTTTATGATTGGATTACTGCATCCTGTTGATTCTTATTTTGTGGTTGGCTTTATTCCTTTGGTAACTATGTAACTTTAAAAAGCTAAAGCTCTAAACTGTTATTAGAAACAATGAACAGTACGTATATGCAAATTTTAAAACTGTTTAATCTCTCAATGAGTCGCTCTTCCTAGAATAAACTTTGTTTACCACCCCCACCCCAAAAAGAGAGATAAATGGAATTTCCAGTGTATTCTTCTAGCATCCCAGTATCACCTAGCGCACTCCACTCTGGAAATCTGAGGGCTCCATTCTTGACCCTCACTTTCCACTCTACATCGAAGTCTCTCCCTGGCTGAGCCCATCTACTCCCTAAGGCTGCAAACACCAAAAACACACTGATGGCTCCCAGATCCCCAGACCTTTACTTTCTAGATTTCTTTACTTTACTAGATTTCCCCTGAGCCTTAGACCTACACACCCAGCAGTCTGCTGAACATTTCTTTCTCAG